ACACTCAGTCCTTTTTTGGTCGCACGATTTCTTTCACACTTAAGATGTTTTTGATTAGATATCATGACTTTTTGTCAATGCACACCAACAAACCACACCAAATAAGAAAGTGACACTCGATAGTAACCAATATTAGTCTTAGGATCGCAACCCTATCATGTGGAACAGACATTTACTTTACAGTTTTACTATCTAAAACAGTATTAATTGTTTTCTTTATCTTAACGCCATGGAAATTAGATTAACAGTTTCTTCTAATCACACCCATGCAATCAGTACGGCCGTATCAAACATCACCATTTATGCTAATTGCTTAAGCTAATATCACGTGACGCTCAACGCTCTTTAATTAAAACAATTTCATAAAATTTAGTAAGTTTGTGCTAATCTAGTTTGCTTGGCCTAACCAATACTAGTGATTCTTTGGAAAACTTGAGCTAGAAACTGCTAATATAGTTTGCTTGGCCTAACCAATACTAATGTATCTGCACGTCCCTTCACTTTATATTTTTGCTTCTCTAAATCAACCGTCTTCAATCCGAATGACAAAAAAAATGATTCACTTTTACTCTTAGATGAAACTGTAGTAAAAATGTTAGACTGATAGCTCACGTGACTTTTTGGGTAGGCGTGCGCAAAATTTTCGTTAAATTTGAGCGATGAATTTTGTTGAATATCGTTGCATATGTGGCTTATATTTACATCAAATGAAACTTCTAATTGTAGGTTATAAAGATTTATCAGTGTAACAAATTCGAAAACAATCCATAAAAGTTAAGTATGTTTCTCTATCAAATAAATTTTCCGTACTTTTGGTGCGAAGAAAAAATAGGAAGAAACTCAACCAAAATTGGGGATGTAATATCTCAGGTATTTCTTAATCGGTGGCTTTGAAATTTAGTATGTGAAGTAAGAGACCAGTAGAGCACATCCACTGAAAATATGTGAGAGTTTGGGTCACCACAGTCCGAGAAACATAAAGTTGAAATTCACTAAACAATAACTCCTGTTAATAACATACAGTGTTTCCTGCAAGTTGGTTTTTCCTTTTCTTTTTTTGGTCGCAAGACACTCTAACGTATGTATTGATAACTTTACATTTGAAGCGAGTAGGAAAAACTTCATTTCTTTTATTCGGATTAAATCAATATGGATGAAAACACTAAATAAATAACGCTCTTGAAGAAAAACAAACAAGAATATAATATGGCATACATATTATGGTTATGCTTCTTAGTGAAATGTAAAAACAAATGATACTATTCATAAATGACTATTTAAGAAATAAATTAGTTGATAAGTTGGATACTTGTCATTTTTGGAATGAAATACTAAAATATACTTCATAGTTAAGTTAGGCAAAATATTTATTTATTTATTACTGGACAAATAACTATAAAATTCTGTGTAGGTTATATTAGCAACTATAAAAGGTCAAAATGATTGTTTCCTTTTATCCTGCCGGCATTAAGTCTTTTGCGTAAATGGATATCGTTCGTTACAAAAAGCGATTAAAGGATAATATTAATTTATAAACATTATATATCTATGACTAGGCAAAATCATTGTTGCAAAATGACGTTAATCACACTCGCTATACGTTATTATGCGAAGTAAGTATCCGATGACCAGTCATGCCATCTGAAATACAAACAGTTGATCATTCAGCCAATGCTCGTAAATGCAAATATGGTAGAGGTTGATTTACACCTTAATAGGTTTCAACATTTCATTTCAATGTGCCCCCCCCCCAGTGGCACAGCGGTATGTCTGCGAACTTACAACGCTAGAATCCGGGTTTCGATACCCGCGGTGGGCAGAGCACAGATAGCCCATTGTGTAGTTTTGTGCTTAATTACAAACAAACAAGCAAACATAATTTCAATATAGAGTAAGATCATCACGAAAAGCAAAGGTGACTTGGCACTGACGTTGCACGCTTAAAATCAAAATATTGATCAAATCTGCGGCATGATCGAAAACTTCTCTAGAAAAACTATTTCTTATGGTGTCTTATGATGAGACCCTTATGGTGTCTTAAAGCACTGGGCGAGATGTGAGGCATCCCACACAAGTTTGATGGGGCTAGAGTTCGATGAGCATGCAAGCCATCCCCTACACAAGCCATTTACTACACTTCAAGAAATGTGTCGACTAGCTTATCACAGTGAGATATCACTCATTACACTGAAATTAGGGCCAATTGAAGTAGCACACAAAATCACGAAGATGTGTAGAATATTATCCCTATAATGAGTAAAAATAAAGGCACCATCTTGCAATAAGAAAAGGTCAGTACATCTATGAATATTTGTCTTTACCCACATTAAACTTCCACCATTAACATATGCATCATGTTTCTGTATGATCTTTGGGGTTGGATGTGATTAAAGATTATTTCGAAATCAGTTTATACATCTGCCTTATGTGCCTTTAAAGATGCCACAAGGATTAACTTACTTTCTAACTTATAAAATTTTGTAATCGCCCGGCTAATCAATCTGTTTTAAGAGCTTACAAACATTGGTCTTTGTATTAATCGAAATTTATTTGTATAAGTGCCAGTTCTTAACTCTCGGTATCATTGAATCACTTGTATATTAATAATACGTTTCTCTAGTTCTGACAGTATTTTTATTTTTTACTAGAGAAGAAGTGCTTTTATGAGGATTTGTTTTGGTTTCAGAAAGGTCTTTTTCTTTTATTAAACTTTCTGGAAAATATAAATGTTTGTTCGTTTAGGATATTCTCTCAAAGCTACTCGAAAGCTATCTGCGCTAACCATCCCTAACTTTGAACTGATAGACTAGTCAGCTAGCCTACACAACCAACCATCAACTCTTGGGATACTCTAGTCGAATAGTGGAATTTGACCGTCACTCTCATATCACATACACGGCCCCAAAGTACACAACGCAATTATGCACCAACAGGATGCATACCAAGGACTCTTGTGTTTACAGTCCAGCATGCAACCCATTAGGTCACTCCCGGCCCAGACATGTATGAGATTATAAAACTAAAAAAAAATGTTGAAACTGTTTCATGAATGTAATGAGCTTTTAAGTGAAACCTATATTATAATTTAACATAACATTTTCATTAAATTGTTGAAAACTTTTCGGCATAGGAAAATAGTTTGGATATTCATTACCCTGAACATTTTTATGGCGAATAGTAATATCAATGTTAAAAACAATAAAAATAAAGTTTTTTTTAATTACATGTGTATTCATTTTTATAGATTATTATCGCACAAATAAAATCATAAAGCATGTTTATAATTTTTGTTTGAACAATATAGTAGGCTGTAATTAATTTGTAGAAAGATAATCTTAAAGTAATCATCAGTGCAAGCTGATCTCGTCATCTTGCATAAACAAACAGCGTGTAGTGTATTTTTCTATGAAGGTGTGTCAAAATGAAAGGCATTTCTTACGTTATACAATTATAACGCAACTGCAATGTACGCATTATCAAGCTGAGCTGTGAAAAGTGATACATTGTCAATCAGGTACTGACGAGAACACGTGACATAAAAGAGATGCAAATCTAAGCAAAATTAATTCAGCTTGAACGGTTAATTTTAAGGTTCATTAATTGTTGAATACATCCAAGTACACTCTTTCAAGAGTTCAAAGTAGAGCGTGTAGAATGTAAACAGAAATATCAGAAACATGTAATTTTACGTATATGTAACTTTAAATTATGGTTATGAAATGTTATAATCCAATATACGGGAAATAAGTGCAAGATCAAAAGAAAGGGACCGATTCAGTGTGAGTTTGAGCAAGGAATACAAAAGACAGGAGTTTAAGGAAGGAAGAAGTAGAAAAAAACAGAGAGATGTGAGAGAGAGAACGAATAAACTGAGAGAGGCGAATGAAAAAGGAAATATGCTGCCAATAAGAAACGAAAGCAATTTCTAAATCTATATGTTATTGATTATCAGTAATAAACACCAATTTGTTATGTTTACATTGGGAAATCAATTTCTAATAGGAACAAGTTTAACCTAAATAAATTCCGTAAATATAATAAGGGAAAACGAAGTGAGAGTACAGCACTATCGTAACACAATGACATCAGAGGACTGAGCAAAATCAATGAAGGAAAGAATAGTTTCATTTGCAGAATGAAACCTGTCTCATATTTATATAATTTGTATTTAACTTCATCTTATAAGGGTAAGCTGGGCACGATGCAAGACATATTCAGAAACTAGTAAAAATATTATTTATAAAACACAAGATTATTTTCACTAAATTATTATTTTGGAACATTTTTGAAAACTTATTTCTAACGTTTATTGGCTTTAGATTTTATCTCTATTTTTTAAATACATCAGATCGAGTTTCTAGTTCAGAATAAAATGAAACGCATAGCATGTAACCAGCCTCAAACTTGTTTCATTTAGAAGTTTCGAGCAAAGGTACGCAAAGGGCTGTCTACATATAGCCATCCCTAATGTTTACCTAATATACTAGAAGAAAGGAATCTAGCCAACAGCACTTGCCACCAATGCATGGGCTGCTCATGTCTGCCCATCTGAGTGGGATTTGAACCTCCATGAACTCAAAGTGTGGAGCATGTTTCGGGGCAAGAGGACGCGAACTTTGTATTCACAGTCTGTACACACTAATATTTTGGCCACGACCTGCCCTCTCGTCTTAGCTTCTGGTACCTATGAACTCATCACGGCAAATATGTTCTTATACCTACAGATATTTAGCAGAATTAATCCTCTCTAACAATCTGCTTGATCTCTGGGAAATTTTAGTTGCTACCTGTCGACAAAGAAACCATAAATATGATAATATATTCATAGCAGAAAAAGAAACAGAAAATGTTTAAAACTATTTTTTTAAATCTTTCCTGAGTTCACTGTCTTGTTATTGCTTAGTTATATCCACAACCTTGAGATGGCGTTGTGTGATTTTAGCACCCTTTAAAAACGTCACTTGGTAACGCATTTCACCCTGTTTTATAGCAAGCGCACTAATACCACGTGTAGTTTCGATCATGATACTGAACATGGAGTAACGCTTAACGCATTAAAATCATAGGAACATTCTTGCTTGAAGAAGAGATTATCGAAAATAGTTTTTCCACCTTAGTTACTATCCTGCATTCGTGGCTTTTCAAATGTTTGAAGACGTTGTAAGTTTCAATTGACTTAATTTCACAAAAGCATATTCGTTCCATATTTTCTTATTTTGTGAATCTTTTATCAGTTTTTGTTATCATTCTAAAGTTGTATTTTTGTCATCTGTGAGCTTTCAGTTTTGTTATCGTGATATAATTTAAAGTTGATTATATATCATTTACGTAACCAAGAACTGGAAAATCTGTGTATCTAGATAAATGAGAGATCATTGATAAAACTTGTAACTATTAAACAAACATTTCGATTAAGTGCAAGTAAGAAGTGAACAATTCTAAAAAAGACTGACAATCTTAAACATTTGTAAAAATGGCACTAAGAAAATAGTGAACCTAAAACAATTCAGAGCCAATTACCAATCCGGATATAACTCGGATTTTGTGTTTGTATTCTAGTTATACAGAATATTCAAGTGGTTTAGTTCGTCAAATCGGTAAACTTCTAATAAACTTATTTGGATCGTACTGCTGTAGTTGAGTTCCGAGCGATGGATAGCTCAATTAAAACAGTAAACGCACACAGAAAAGTGATATTTTCTCGACTGATCAATCGAAGACGTTTCGACAATGAAGAGTTAGAATCCTTGTACCAACGTTACACCTTTAAGATTCAACAATCCTCGATCGTTAGTGTTCTGGCATTGTTTATCTTCCTCACCGGAATTTTAACAATTTTACACTTTATCTTTGTTAAAACTGCTTCTGCTGCAAATTTGTACTTCATACTGCACTGTCTAGTTTTTTGCGCTATCTTGTGTTTCATCTATACGAAATGGCATAAAGACTCATACTTGCTGGCTTTGTGTTACGTGATCTTATGTTTCTTTGTAACCTTCTGCCTGGTTTGCATGCCAGTGGATCTCGGGACACGAGGAACATGGGGTTCAGGATCTTGGGGTGCACCACACAGTGCTGCTGATGGGGTATGGGAAATAGTTTATTGTTTATTTGTGTCGTATACTATGCTGCCACTGAGAACAAGAGTATCAATGACTCTTGGACTAGTTCTGCCGACTATCCACACAAGTGTGGCTTCAACAATGACACAAGAGTTCCCAGGACTATTGAAGCACCAGGTAAGTTTTAAGTTGGTCCGATTCTTTAGTGCGACTTAGAAGTTGGATGGTATAGTACTAAAAATGTTTTCTTTGTTTGTTGGATTTCGCGCAAAGTTTCTCAAGGGCTATATATGTTAGTTGTCCCTAATTTAGAAGTGACAGAGAAGAGAGAGAGCTACTCTTTTACCAATGAAAAGTGGGATTGACCGTTATGTTATAACATCTCCACGGCTGAAAGCGTGAGCATATTCGGTTATGTGATTCTAAGACGCGACCTTTAGATTGAGAGTCGATGGCCTTTACGACCAGGTCATTCCGGCTCTCCATACTTTAAATATACTTATTATAGATCAATGAGTAAAAAAAAAATCAATCTTGAATAGTATCTAGAGTACCCCTATAACATGTATCGATGTATATACACATTATTAATTAATTGATTCACTACAAAGTTTCAAAACTGAAATTCCTCACTGATTTTCATTCCTTGTTGATGTTACGGTATTGGAGTGTTTGATCACCACAACTTCTTTATGATTTGTGCAATAAATGTCATCAAAGTTTTATAAGCCACAGCTAACTATTTTCTCAGAACTTTACATATGAACGACAAATATAATTTAGTTTCTACGGAATAGTTGAATGGAGGTTTAATATTCTCTGAGTTTTCGCTTTAAGTTAAATTAATTTATATAATAACTGTGCCTCACGGTTTATTTAATGTTTGCTGTTATTTGATAATGGTTATGAAGTTTCTTGCGCTCTACAGTTTTTTCTGTAATTTTCTGTTATTTATATTATCCGTTTGTCTGATCGCCCATTATTTGACCCTTAAAACTAGAGTAATAACACTTGGTGTGAAGTGGTTCTCATTCTTCATTTAAAGATTTTATGAAGCTTTTTTTTTCTATACGGAACAATTCAACTTTCTTATGCCTACCCTAATCCGCACGTACGAGTATTTAAATTATTCCACTGAAATCACCCGAAAAAGGGCAGCGATTACTTTTTCTGGAAAGATATCATTAGCTTACAAAGGAAATGATTTTCAATGCACAGCGCTCTTTCAAGTCAATGCGACAAAGCTGTTTTAATTAAAAATCAATATCATCAAGTATCTGCAATCTTTTATCATCTCTTAACCATAAAATCCACCCCAAATTAGCTCATTTTTAAAATAAGGACAGGTTTTAAAAAAATTGTCACAATAATAATTTTAGAAACATTCAATTGCCGATGATTTAGTATTCAACTCTGGTTTCAGTTTGTTGAAGGCTAAGGTTTCTTTAATCCTTGCATCTTACACCTTTGTTATTGAAACTACGTATTATTTCAAACTTCTTTTTGTCTGCATTCCTGTCACATTCTTGGTTTAGATACATTTAGGTGTTTGAAGAATTATCATCACTTCACTTTCTCTTTTATATGCTGTTCTAAACAAAATAATCTCGTCCGCATCAGGAACAAACATATTAATAAAAATGTAAACGCGTTGAATTTTATGAATTTTCTCCTTTTTTAAAGAAAAAAAGTTATATTTTCTTAATACTGATTTTAAAGCTTAACATACTGAAACTTGAGAATAGTTTGATTTCAAGATATTTTGATTTTATTTCCAAGTAACTATCCAGATAATTCTAAACCTGTTAGATACCATAAATATGTTAACGTTACCTTTATTATTTTTAAGAAGAAAGAAGATGTAAATATTTTCTTGGATAAAAACAAACAATATCCTCTTATCACGATTACAATGGAAGAAAGAAATAGCTCAAACTTTTGTTTTTTTGGATCTTGAAATTAAAAACTATGTCGATTATTTGTAAATAAGAAGGTATCGTAAATCAACAAATATAGCATTGTATGGCCATGTTGTAACTTTCTAGTTGTTAAGTATAAGGTCAATTTGATAAATATCTTATTTTATTGAACTTCTAAGGTCAATTGGATGAATGTCTTATTATATATAGCTTCTCATATTGCCAGTGACTGTGAAAAATGTAGTCTTAAGAAATTGTTTTCATCTATCGTTACTCAACAACATTTAAAAATGTTTATTAAATGGTGTGTACACTCGTCGTAAAGTTAACTATGATGTTCCAAAATTGTCACCTTTCATCAGTCAACCATGCATCGTTTATAACATCGTATAAAAGAGCATCTTAAAACTATTGCTGGTAATTATTTAAACGTCTAAAGACATCTAGACCAAATATTGTGATGTAACTTCAAATTAAAAGAAGTATATAGTTCCGACAAAGAACAGTATGTAAGAATTAAAGAAACGGAAACCAAAATTGAATGCCAAAACACAGCAATAAGCTACAATGGCATATGAAGAAAGGTGTTTTAAATCATAAATTCAACTCACAGTACTGCCAGAAGAATTTGCAAAAGTTAGTAATATTTTGAATAAACCTTCTTTTGTGTGGGTCTGCTTCGAAAATTTGTTAAAGTAATAAAAGATCACAAAAAGTGTATTGGTGTTGTATATTGAGATCTTATCAGATATTTCTGAGAAATTATAATTTATTGGATTACGTTATGGTCTTTAACGTTTCTTAAGAAGTACATCCGTAGATATTTATTTACAGTTGAATAGTCGATGACTAGTTTGATATGTTGGGCATCATAGATACTCTTCATTAAAACATTTTCTAAATTTCAGCAAATGATTGTCGTGGTTCATTTTATGTACCTTCATTGGATTCAATGGAAAAAAAACTCAACTTGGATCAAATCTAGAATCAGAAGACTCGGATAGAGGGCTTATTAAATGCTAGAGAGAAAAAAGCATATGGTGTTAAAACAGAGCTCAAAATTCACCCCCCCAAAAAAAAACGTGCAGAAACCCTCATCCCTCATATTTCTTATATAACTATCACAAATCTAAAAATATAATACAAATAAAAACACCTTATGAGCTACAAATAATCATTATTTCATAACATAATGGTTAAATAATAAAAAATAAAATATATTGTATTGAAAATATTAAATGAATTTAAATTTGTTTTGTGTAGTCTTTACTGGTATTTTGAATTAACTGTTACCTTTATACGTAAAAACATTTTCTATAATATCCCAGTCTGATATTGCAATGAAACTAAATGAAAGGACTGACTGTATTACTGTGAGTTTGGAATTCGTCATCGAGTATATGAACTTTTGGACATCTGATGGGGCTATTTCCTTACTATTCCTTGGACCAATGAAATCGATCAAAGGGACATCAGTGTATTTACAGATTGGAAAACATCGACGTAATCTTAAACTATGTCTTCAAATAAATTGTAGAAGCAAAACTCAAAGCTTAAAACACAATTTCTTATCTACCTTATATGTACGTGGAAGCACCAATAAAGTAATATGGCTTAATATGCTAAGAGAAATATTATATATATATATGTAATTCACGTATTCGAGTGCAAATTAACAATGTGCTGATCAGAGGGCTTTTGAGTGTTCTTTACAATTTTTTTTTTAATTTGAAAGATAAATTTGATTTTTTCATTCTTCTCTAATAGTTATTATTAATCTAATCAAAAACACCTTAAATGTGAGAAGAAGAAAAAAGGTAGTGTCCAAAAATGCATTAAGAGTGCGACTTAAAAGAATGAAATAAAAATTGGCGGCCAAACTGTACATACACTTATAGCATTGATAAGAATTTTAGAACAAATATTCATACATTAGTTAGCCAGGCCGCGCTTTTTGTTCAACTTGGGGCATGATGGTGTTTTTGATATCATGACTTTTTGTCAATACACACTAACAAGCCACATCATATAAGATAGTAACCAACATTAGCTTTAGGATCGCAACCCTATATTAAATGCTTTTTTCTTTTTCTGCTCTAAACCAACCGCCTTTAATCCGAGTTACAAAAAATCTAAAAACGGTCCACTTTTAATCTTAGGTGAGCTGTGGTAAAAATGTTAGGCCGATAGCTGATGTGATTTTTTTGGCGCATGTGTGTGTGTGCAATACCTTTCGTTAAATTTGAGCGGTTTTTGTTGAATAACTCTGCACATGTGGCTTATAGTTACATCAAATGAGTCTCCTAATGATAGGTTTATCAATGTACCAAATTTGAAAAAAAAGAAAAAAGTTAAATATATTTTTCTATCAATTAAAGTTTTCATATTTTTGGTGCGAAAAACAAAATAGGAAGAAACTCAATCAAAATTGGAAATGTTATGTCTCAGGTATTTCTTAATGAATTGCCTTGAAATTTGGTGCATGAAGTAAACGTCCAGTAGAGCATAGCCGTGTGTCTTGATCTGAACAGCTTAAATTTTAGTATTCTGTACGTGCTAGTATGAAACTATTGAAGGAGTTGGAATGTCAAGCCCAGGAGATAAAAATTTCAATTATCACCCCCAGAGGTACGTTTGCAGTAACCTTTTCCATTTTTCATTTTCTTATCTTAATTTTGTATTCGTTTATTAGCAAACTAGCTTGAGCATCTATATCTGCTCACGATTTTTGTATATTATTTGTTTGTTTTTATAGTTAAGCAAAAAGCTACACAGTGAGCTATCTCTGCTGTGTCCAACTCCTGTATTGAAATTCGATTTTTTGTAATTTTGTTTCATCTCTCGGGTTTGCGAACAGGAATTCAAACTGATAATGGTGTATCTGCATCATTGTGTGAGTACTACCTCAATAAATACCACTCTTACTAGGACACCTTTTTACATTTGCACAATGTAGTTTGCAACCAATCTTTGTTTGTCTTTTCTTTATGTGCAAAACTTGTTCATTTTCGCCGGATCGCAAAATATCCCTATCATGGAAATCTGGATTTTGAAGCTGGCGAGCCGATTTTGAGTCTGTGCAGTCCCACAAATTATCCTCCGCACTTTCATCTGTAGGTGCGTTATAAGAGTGACAGTCAATCCATTCACATGTGTGGTGTTGTACTGTTGACTATCTCCTTTCCTTCTAGTCAGAAACTCAAAATATAGCGACGACAGCATGTAGCCTTAGTAGTTTGTCATAAATACAAATATTTA